AGTTTTCAAACTTGTCAATAGCAATTTCACACACGATTTTGCCGGTGATCCGACGTTGTTTACAAAAATCCCCATTAATGGTGGTGCTTGGTAAACAACGCCGTCCCCGGGAGGTTCACACTCCTCTCCATCATGCCAATGGAAAAGAGTGGAGAAAATTATTCTGTAAATATTTGAAGCGATAGGGTTACCAACTCGTAAAGTGCCACACGTCGAACTAGGTCAAACAAATGTTAAAAAAGAACAAAAATTTTAATTTCCATCGACAATTTCAAATAATTATTGAAATTCTTATGTGGAATATTTCAGATTGTATTGAATAAACGTAATAAATAATAAACAACTTTGTAGTTACCTTCAAAGGGTTGTAATATTTAGTAAAACTTCATGTATTTCTTCGAATCATTTTTAAAAGTTCCACGTTATGTTTAATATCTCAAGAAGTTTCATGCTGCTCGAGTTATAGTTTAGAAACAGCATTTTACATTATTTTAAACCAAAATTATAAGGAAATTATAACTAATAATAAACATGAATCTGTTAAATGGTTATTATAACTGACTTTCCATTTTTTTTTGCTATATGCTTCTCTTTTTAATTTATGAGAATAAATTAATTCATTAACTATTGGATTAAATCCTGATCATCGAGATTCATTTGAACCTCAAACTATTTCATCAGAACAAGTGGTAAACGATTTCATAAAATGTATTCTAGATTCTTTCTCAGTGGGTTCTTCTGGGAAGAAAGAATATATTTTATTTAACGTTAAATAAAGAGATCTGATGATGGCTTGCTAAGAGCTTTCTTGAGAAAACCATCCAAAATCACTGAAAGAACTTGGACTGCGATTTCGGCCAATGGAATAAAATTTAGCAGAAGTCCTCGAAGATTAAACAAGTTTTAAATGGCTTCCAAATTTGTAGCTAAACAAGAAAAATGTTTGCCCTAATACCATTACCATAATGTTGCCCTTTAGCCCATTGCATTTAGGATCTTGTAAACATTCCTGTATATGTACCGGCTGGGAGACATTCCAGAATTGGTACACCATGCATTCAAAAGAAACTGTTGATAAAATTTTCTAAAGACTGCTTTAGTTACAGACCCGAAAATTTTATATTTGACATTATATATTTGAAACAATCATGAAATAGGTAAACTAATTATTCCCGGAAGTTTTGCAAAATGACTCTGCAGAAATTAACCAACAAACATATAAGGAAACCACAAAAGGACCAAGAGCTGTTCCCAAACAAGTAACATTAACAGTTTTTTCATTTATCCTGCCACTGTACAACACAAAGGCCAACTTCTACGATGTGATATAAACTGCCCGGATTACATTTCAACCAGGAAGACAATACTGAAAAGGAAGAACTTATGGAAGATGATGTAGATATAGGAAATGAAGAAGCAGCAAGTTCTCAAATAGTAAGTGTATTAATTAAAAGAAAAGAAATTTATCTTTGAAAATCATATTGCATATTTTAATTTGACAGACAGATTTTGCACTATCACAAAGATTATTTTTGTGCACATATATTAGTCTTTATTAGTCCAATGACTATATGATTTACCCTACATTAACAAATGATTAGTTACAATAAAATGGGGGCTAAATTTTGCAAGTTGTATTTTGACAGTCAAGCCGTTCTGTAAAAACTTCCTGTACACCACCTTCTCCATCTTGACGATTTAGTGTAAAATGATTAACAAAAGAGTTAATCATTAGCCTCAGAGGCGCAAAAACGCTTTCAGAAACGCTGTTGAGAAATTGGTCGAGCCAGATCTTTTAGAAATCTGATTGAACATCTTGAGCATAATATCAACATCAGATTATAATTTAAGAAGGTAGTAAAACCATGATTATGTGTCTATACCATTTATTTTTCCCTGTATATAAACTATACATTAAAACCTCAAATGTTCAGATTTACTTCTTCCCAAAGATGATCAAATAACAACTCTATTACCTTACAGAATTTTGCGTCTTTAAACAATAAGTAGTCTTAAAAATAATTAAAACTTGATAAAATATGTTGATTATGATGGAGATACCAAAACATTTAAAGAAATTTTAAAATGTTAAAATCATACAAAGGCAACACAATTTTCAAAAAAAGTGAATTGATTTTGTGTCAACTCGCATAGTAGGCACAGTAGATTTTTATTGCGACTCGAATATTTGCCGAACTCCGAAATCCACGGAAAAAATGCGAAACGAAATTTGGACAACCCTTTACAGCAAACGTTCAATAAATAACTTGCTGCAACATGATTATTTTCCGATCAACCCGGAATCAAAAAGTGAATCCTCGGAGAGTAGACCACTACCAATATAAATCGTCTCTTTGGCAGAATATTTTCGATGCTGTAATACTACTATTTTAATGTATATTTTAATGTTTTAAAGTATAGATTTTTAAGTGATAACGCTGAGCTAAATTGCCATAATTTTAAAAACAACAAGATTTTATACATAGCATCTTTTGATATACTATTTTATAATGGCTTTTAGTAAAACAGTATTATTTTGTCTCCACCATAGATGTTTCACGAAAGTACTAGCTACCATAAAATAGTTACAGATCATGGAAGATGAACCATTAGCGATAAAACAGCAGTAGATGTAAATTTGGAAAAAGAAATTTCAGTTCGTTACAAAGATATAAAAAGTATTTTACAAAGAAGAACAACAAGATTGTAGTAGAACATACAAAATATCTTAGTCGATTTAGGAAAATATGCTGGGATTGTGGAGATGTAAATGGAGAACCGTTTCTTCGACGTTTGAAGACGTTTGATTTTACTCCTTCTAATAATATTATTAATAATTTTAATAAAGAGACCAGGATAGAAAAAGGTGTATGAGTTTTTCCTAAAGCATAAAAGTGTCATTCTTAGAAAATACAATAGCAACATTTTATTCTAGGGCTGTGGGGTTTAATGGTGATGATTTTCGGAAGTTTTTTTAATAACCTTGCAGCCCTTCAGCTGATCGGGTTTGTAATGTTGGTGGCAGAGGCGTTGTAACCCAGTTGGAAAGTTACTCAAATTAAAGCTTGCCAAGAGAGCCACCATAAATGGATTCCAAAAATCTGGGATTTTACTATTTATCGATTCTATACCTCAAGACTGGGAGTATGCTGCATCAAAGGATCTTAATAATTCTGATTTTGAATCTGTGAATCCAAACAGCAGTAACGAAGAACAAGTACAAACTTCCACATTTAAGTGGTTCCATATAAAATCTTTAGATTATAAAGTTCTATTCCTCCACAAAATGTTTTTGCATCATCGTATAATTCAGTTGAGAGCGATTCTGAAGTTAATCTTCCTATACCAATAAAAACGAATTGTTTCCTTGTGTGTAAATTGTTTACATCGTTAGCTAAGAAAGTCCACTTAAAGTTATAGTCTTTTAAGAGTATCTATTTAACGAAAACGAGCAAATCGGCCAAAAGAAAAGTTTTTGAAAATAAAGAAAGAAATAGAAAATAAAGTTCAAATTCTAGACAGAACAAGAAGAAGAATGTCAACAATCGTACTACAAATCATAATAAATGCAATATATGCATGCAAAAATACTCGGAAGGCGAAGAGGACTGGTATAAATGTCAGGGATGTGCAGGATGGGCTCACGAGTCCTGTGGGATTCTAGATGCGCTGTATTTCCCTTGTTTGAAATGTAAAATAATGTCCCATTTTTTTCAGAAAATATTAATGTCAAAATAATGTCAGTTTGAAGTTTTAGTATATAATATTGATTACATAAAAAAATATTTCATTAAAAGATTGAACTTTTAAAGTTGATTGGAATTATATTTTATATTATAAAAAAATAATTGGCAAACAATGTATCGTTAATTATCTTTATCTGTACAAATTGGGTTCCCTGCAAATTGAGCTGTAAAGAACATTGAATCGAACCTGTGCCTCTCTCTTTTTAACTCTTCATTTTCCACTCTTCTCTCATTTCCTCTTGGTGTTTAGTAACGTCCGTTCTCTATAACCTGCGCTACCACCCGTTCCCTGTCGGTTATACGGTTGTCCATTAACGTTCGACTATCGGTATATATTGTTATTATTGGGGCTGCGAGGATCACGTTCGCAATACGCCTTAATTAACGCGTTCAAATATATTGCCTGCGGTGTGGAGGTGCGCCTTCTCTCTCTACTATATGCTAGCTTTCCATTGCGCCGTTAACGAGCTACTCATTATGCCCAATCGAACCGGACCCCGTTTTAACTAGCTACACACCCAACCCATCAGTTGTTGTATACCATTCGAGAATAGAACTTATAGAACTCACCTTTCCTCTACTTGCAATTGCGCTTTTGCATCACTTGACCTATAGCGTAGTACGTTCAAGTAGGAACAAGTGCAATTCTAATGTATTCCGCGACCTGTTACCGGACTTGTAGTCTTTCTTCATTCTCATACAGTATAGTATAAAATTTTTTCAACTATCATCATAAATTTACAACACTTTCATATTGTAAAGGATCGTTCGATTATCCTTGGATTTTTTATTCATTTACCATTAAAGTTAATTAAACTATAAATTATTACCACATTTATTTCCCTGTGTTATCAAAATTGATTTCTGCTTTTCTGATTAATCGAAAATTTCGATTCATTTCAAATGAGGTTAGATTAATAAAGATAATTTTTATATTTTTACCCGGCAACAATTTTTAATCTCTCTTTCCAGCTAAGTAGTACCTAAGTATTGATTTATTTATTGATTCGATCTAATAATAATAACTTGCAAAATAACTCGTAAACAAGAGAGACATTCACGTTATGTTATGTATTCGAAGTACGTTTTGTTCCACATGATTAGAATATTTTAAATGTGGTAATATATTATATTGAGACACTTTGAAATGAAATAATAATTATTTTAAAGATTAATTTATGCGAAGTAAATAAAAAAAAAATAAAACGTTATCGGTTCAAGAAGAGTATAATAATAACAACAAACACCTCTATTGTGTGGACTACCATTATGTGAAGATACTGCCTACTTCGCAGGAGATGAGCCACGTGTAGATATTTGCACACATATGTAATCGAACAAAAACGTTTTTGTTCCGAGTTCTAAATATTGACTTTAAACCATCCCAGAAAAAAAGGTTATTCTAACAAAGACATCCTTTCTCCGACAAGAAAACTTTATTCTTTATCACCGCACACCAAAAACCCGGCGAACAACAACAACAAAAAAATAACTTCTTAACGACCACTGTATTTACATACAAATCCGTTATTTTCATAAGAACATCGCAGTTAGCAACGGCAATATAAATGTTAATTCGCGGCCTATTCAAGAGACAGAATTAACGACTTCTCCACCACAGTTTACGTCCCGAGCTTTCAAAAAGCTCCCGGTAAAAAAGAGAAAACGGCTGTAAGAAAAAGGGACCGTAAAACGAAAAACCCGGCGAATTTCGTAATTGGAGTCCCCGTTTTTGTTCCAACGATCTTTTCGGTTGAGACGAGTTTTCGCAAATTAAAATTATTCTCGGAAAACGGAGGCGAAGGGCGTGTAATGCGTTAATCAAAACGATCCCCTTCGTCGACGAAGCAAACTCCAAAAGATACTCGAAAAACGAGCGAACTTACTAATTGGCGACGATGTTTTGTCGGAAAACATACTGATCCGGGGGAGAGGAAAATTTCATTAAATCCGTGATCTATTTGATCTGATATACGCGGTTTTCAAAGTTGCATTTATGCGTATAAATGAATGCTTAATTGAATTACTCAATCACAAACGTGTCGCTGTTTAACGGAGATTAACGAGTTAAAAAAAATCTAAGAGGGCATTGAGAGAAAGGAATTAACCGGTTACGGTCGATTAGGAAACCACTTTTCACTTTTGCAAATTTAATACATAGTGAATATTTTCAAATTAGTTTAACACTTACTTTTTTTTATCAATCAATTGAACAAACTGTTCAATCAACATCATAATTTGATGAAATCTGTTTAAAATGCTGGTGAACAACATTAAAATTCCAATTTAATAACTACTTTAGAAATCTATTACTATAGATAGTTGTTGAATTGTATTTTTTACTAGATCTTCAGATCGATAAATCCAGTTCAAACTTGGTATCGAGGAGTAATGGGCCATGGTCCATTAATTTCCAGTATTACTTATTACGTGTGATGATAGTGTTAAATTATAGTACCACATCTTTAAAAATTCCCAATGTTAAACAATACATGCCAAGAAGTGTAGCTTCTTTAGCTAGAAGCTTTAGTTAGAAAGATTGATTTGCATTGGAAATACGCAAGAAACTAACTTCTTTTCTTAGGAAAAAAAGTTTACATCTTATTACAGGTTATATCACATCGCTGATGAAGACCATTAATTTCAACCCAACCTAAACACCAACGCTCATTTTTGACAAAATCTTCTCCAAAGAGGATGTTTTAGAAAGGAATAAGATCAGTAAATAAGGAAAATTTTACCCTCAAAAAGAGTATTGTTTTAGAAGACATCAATGGAAAAGAGGTGATTCATTCTCTTGAATAAATGTGCAATAATATCTTAACCAGCGTACGTCAGCTTTATGAAACTGCAATTGTGCTAGACTCAAAAAAATGCAGCAGGGCAACGTTTATTTTATCATCTCCAAGTGTGCTTCAATGTTATGTTCAGAGTGTCTAAAAGAACTTTTCTATGTTTATGCTGACGATGAAGTAATCGATGCTGAACTTCGAAGAACAAATCACTGTTACCCAGCATAGACATGGCAAGATATTTAACGAGTAATGCAGAGATTTTGGTGAAAAGAGAATAAAAGTTTGTGTTTAGGGCTTTAAAAATGTGAGATTTAATGCACAATAATAAAGCAGAAACTTAGAGGTTGCTACAGAACCACCTAGATGTTATAGTTATGTAACTCAAAGGTATACTTTAAAAGAACAATATTAGAAATATTTATAGAAGCATAACAATAAAAAACTTAGGTTTAATGACATTAAACAGCAAAACACATTTATTGCTAAATGTGATTTTAAATGTCTTGTGCAACACACATTTATAGTTATAACTTTGGCTTAACATAATTCTGAGATCTTTTTTTTTTTGCAGATTAACTGGAAAAACGCCAAAAGAACCAAATTACACTCCCATCATGGGTTCATCTTCTAAAACAGAAACAAAGTTAACATAACTGACGACATCATTCGATTCAATTCTCAATTAAAGCGCTAGATTTAGAGCAACTAGTCAAAAAGCTCGCATTACTCCTAAACGACCGATGTACATCGTGAACTATCGCATGACTTGAGGAACTGCAATGTTAATGGTCTAACAGGTTTTGGAACCAAAGTTTCTTGACAGAATGGTTACGAAGAGCCAAGTTTAGAACAAAGAATTAACAGAGAAGAATTCATATTTAAGCAGAACTTCATTGAAATGCAGGAAAATCATGATGAAAATGTATTTCATGAACTATATCCGACCAACATGCATAACAAAGAAGATTGCATGAGTTGAACATTTGCGATGATGAGAATTTTTAGAAACAAAGTTGGGTATTTCTTACCGAAACGGTTACGAAGCACTAAATATGCTACGAAGCACTAAATATGCCTTCCACGTGTATTAACTCATATTACACATATAATTAATACGAAATAATAGGGAACCCAGTGTAATGATTCCAATGATCTCATAATTATCTGAAAGTTATCATATTTCATTTTTTTCTTTACATCAACTTCCAACAGATAAATTTTTAAAGCTAAATTTCTTTCTAGCTGTACTTCGTGGCGAGTCATTCGGAGAGAGCCACTGCCCTTTGCGTTTTGGATTATCATATAGGACCCATTTTTCATCTGCAGTGATCATGCGATTAAAAAATCCGGATTTTCAGTCCGGAAAAATACGGATCGGTTAACTTTGTTTTCGTCGGACCAATCTGATATAAATATTCTTGGATGATAAACCAAGGTTGGTTAAGAGTATTTGTAGTTCCTCGATCGTCTGACACGGATTTGCTTCCACTTTCGTCCTTAACAGGTCAAAATTACCGGGTTTGAACTTAGAAAACCACCTTTGGTAGCAATTGTTGCAGTATTACCCTTGCAAAACTCAAAAAGCATACAATGCCGAATATGTACCACTTCTGGTATTTGACTGGTCATTTCACCATAAATTCCCAAAAAGAAAAATAAGAATTATTTGCGAGTAAACAAGTCACTCTAATCTTAAAATATCTTTAACTCGATTTTGTAGTACACAATGAGATGATAGATGGCAATCGAATATCGACATGCACAGAAACGACATTACTTTCCGGTCCTCTAATATGATCGTCATCGAAGGTGTTGTAGACCACGACGTTTTTGGGATTCGCTGATACATTATTTAGAGCTTTGGGTAAGAAAAATGCACAGTTCAGTTTTTACCTCACTTGGGATTACTGCTGATTACTTAATATTTAGTTGCAAAAGTTGGACTCAATCCATAACATTTTTAAAATTGGATTCATTACAATATATATACTAAGTGCTGTGAAAATCTCAATGCCAAGAGAGGTAAGTATTTTTTGTCGAAACGTGATAGCAATTAATTAAAATTTCATTCCAGTGGCACAAGTGATAATTGGTTTAATAATGGTTAGATTTTGTTTGGTTAATAATTGTTGAAGCTTTCCCGATTCTGTTTGGAGCTGCACGGAATACTGAATTATTTATTGTGACGCATGTGCGCCAAACTGTAGGGATTATAGTATAGGGTGTTGTGACTTATTGGACCCGACCTTCAAGTATGTAACCTATCGAACATATTTGGGACATTATGCAGGAGACTGAGAAACTTGTTGCATCTTCCGCATATGGTGCAAATTACTGCATGAAGGTTGCAAAGGACATAATACCTCACGAGAAAATCGACCAATTGCTAAAATCAATACCACGAAGAGTGGGGGAGTATGTAACCAACCCATAATTAATAAAAATTAAGTTTGCATTTTGTACTTCGTAGTTAAACGGTTCTGCCAAGTTTGATCAAAAATATATTTCTACATTTAGGATTCCTTTGGATCATTTCATTACATGCCTAAACGATTCTATTGATTACCAACGCAACAAATAATCAAAATAATTAAAGCACAAGCTAAATCCAAAATTATGCTCGCAATTTAGAGCAATCCTAATTTGCATGAATTATGATTATATTTAGTACTCGAATACTCACTTAGGCCCACTTTTATCATACTCCCGATAAACTATCTAGAGGATAGTTACCATGGTTACGGCGGTTTTAAGCACTCTCATTAGCTAAGGCTCGTTACTACCATCTTCTGGTTAAGCTATCTAAGGGATTATTATTATGGTTACGGCTATTTCACGCGCTCTGATTGGCTAGTAGATGGGTTTATCTATAAGATAAATTTAACTAAAAGATGGTAGTAATGGACCTAAGAGCTGGATTTATCTATCGGATAAATTTATCAAGAGGTGGTAAAAGTGGGCCTTAATATAATAAATACTTTTCATGGTAGTGGAATTAAAATAAATAAAATGTTACCGAAAACCTATAGACAGATATAATTAAGTGAAAATTACCAATAGAAATAAATGTGTTACAATAAAATGTAATGACATTTTCATGTTAGATGTTTTACAAACTTAATACGTTTATTTAAAATAGACAAATGTCTTAAACCGACACATGTTAATGCGAATTGAGCGGTATACCGCAACACAAACGGAAAAAAATAATCTCTTGTTTACACTCGTCGATATTTTTATCCAACTTTAAAGCAAACGAATCGATGCCGAATTTTTCCAACAACTCAGAGGCAGTGGAAAAGTTTGGCCGAAAAGATCAAAACAAGTGTGACAGTGTGCGTGGAGAATTTTATGTAACTTTCGGACAACGAACGATAATTCGCTAAGCTGATAGTGAAATTTTAAATAATCCGTACCATGTCACGCTGCGGACATATTATTTATTGTTAAAACGGGTAAATATGAAAATGGTTGCGTAGACGGAGTAAAAGCGAATAACATTAATAGTTATTATATCCTGTAACCTGTAACCTTTCGTTGATTTAATTTTTAGTCGGTATTAGTAAACTGAATGTCGAGATCGTTTCAACATAAGATGCAAAAACAGAGGAATCGTTCACGATCTCGACCGTAAGCAGAGTGATCTGTTGTTATTGTATTTTTTTTTTGTTGTAAGATAAAGAGATTCAATGGCAGGTGCGATAAATCAAATAACAAGTTGCGTCACGAGGCCGAAATTTTCCAGGTCGGTGATGTTTTTGCCGCTATATGTAAAGGGAATATTATAAGAGATTAATTGAAAAAATACACTCGCAAATTTATGATAATTTTTTTTAAACGGAAAAAAACGTTGCTATCCCAACATTTCGACGTCACCACGATAGTTATCTTTATTTTATTGTTAGCTTATTTATTTTACCGAACAAAACATTCCATTCTAAAATTAATTCTTTAAGGCACCTCTAAGAGTGATGCGGTACTATTTTGAAACATTCTACAAAGTATACTTTAGGAATACTTTGTTGCTTGATTATCCCATTAGTAGTAGTTTCCCATTTTCGTTCGTGTTCTCGAGTTTAGAAAGAAAGAAAGAAAAAAATCGTGGATAACGGCCGAGATCGCACGCTTGTCACCACACTGTAAAAGGTGAGCCACGGGCTACGGGAGACGGAACTTTCCAATTTGCGGCAATGGAAGTCACTAAAAGGAGCGGAAGGAGAACACTCCTCAAGCGACTGTATTCGTTATTCAAATGGCGTGCGAGTTCGAGCAAAAACTTAGTATTTTCTCTTTGCCGGTTCGCGCCTCTGACAAACATGTTTATAACCTTGGCCGAGTATTGGCCGCAATTTAAATAAACGACAAGAAAAGCAAAATAAATAAAAATTCAAATTAAAGATTGATACACGATTAAAAATAAACTTTTCTTTTTCACTCATAACCACAACATTGATACAACATTAACAGAAATTACTTAATTAAATAACTAAAGGAGGACCATTTGCAACTGTCCACCAATTGTTGACAAAAACATGATAACATGTTATAAAAGAAAAATTGTATATATTAACATTCAAGCCTATTTACCGTTCAACGTCGCGAATGTATGTTATTAGGCTCGTAAGAATTTTAATAGCGAGTAATTAGATGACGAAAAGTATTAATTAACTCGGCGCTTGTTTTGGATTTTACTCGGCGCGAGAGAACGTTTAAAGAAAACGAGGGGAAGAAGAAGGGAAACTAACATGCATTATTCATTAAAATACGTAATTTATTTGACTCTTGAATATTAAATTTACGCAAATAACATTAATAGCCGAGAAACCGTCCGAAATAGAAAACGTAAAAATGTTTAAACAAAAACAATATGTTGTTATTTTACTTACCTACACGTTTTACAACAAAAACGTTTCAGTTTATTTTAAGTTTCTCGTTTATGAATCATACTCATTTTTCTTTATCAAAATTATGCCGGTTTTGTACTCTATGTTATTTTGATAATTTTTACTACATTTTCTAGTTGATATAAGTAAACTAATAATGTTAAATGAATAAACTAAACCAAAACGAATCTAAATTTCATATATAACATATACTATTGCAAATTGCAAAACCTGTACTGGCCGATTAAATTAGCACAAACAAGCTTACAAATGAATTTATTAGCTTGTTTACTCTGTTAGAGAACTGAAAGAGCGTTACCTAAGCGCGAAGCCAAAGTTTTGTATGTAACAAAACACTTTTAGAAATAAATCTTTCTTATTATTATTACCAACAACATAAATACACCTAAATAAATATAATGAAAAATGATTCATAAAATCCATCTTATTCCTTTCGGTTTAATTTCAAAATACTACACACTCATTTATTTATCCAAATAGTTATTTCATTCTTAGACCGCAGCTGCGGTTACGATCGCCATTATTCAAAACGCGCCTTGAAATTAATAAAACGTATAATGTGGACACGTTACTAAAAATTAAACCTAGCAACAAGACGGAAATAAACTGCCCCTTTGCATTATAACGAGCAACTCGCATAACAAAGACTTGCGTAAATAAATATTAAAATAATCAAGAGCATACATCGTAAAATTGTTTCAAAGTGCTGTGAGTAATCCATCACCGTAACAATACGCCGAGTAAAAAAAAAATAATAATAACCAAGAAGATTATAATTAAACAAAAAAAAACAATGAAGATTGTTGTGTTATTTAACTTATTTGTTTCCGACAAATTTAATTAGATAGATTATAATAAAATTAAACACTTTGTAGATTGAAAGTTGTTTGTTAACTTTACTATTCACAAGTTTGTTTTGTTGTTTTAATTCGCAATGATATCAATTTCGTGTTATAATCAAATTCACACTTATTTATGCGAAAAAAACAACTTTATATAAGGAATTATTAAGAATGGAATATTTTGCTGGTTGAGATAATAAAGGGTATAAACATTTATTAAAATTTAAAGATCAAATATGATTTATTTAGAACTTTCTAGAATATGTGTAAAACGAAAACAAAGCGTACTAAGTAATTGGTTTTATCAAGCATTTTAATTTCTTTTTAAAAAGGAACGATAATAATCTTATACCTTGAAAGAGGGGTGAAATATCGAGATAAAAATTTCCATGAATAAAATGGGTGAAAGACCTGGATTGAGAGGATAGAACACAACTTTAAATAAAGCTTGTATAGCGATAAATGATAGTGGATCAGAGGTGGGATTAAAAAATGAACAGGAAGAATAGGATTATTTAATAAGTCGGGCACAATTTCCGTTACCAATTATTTTTATGATAATAAACGTATGATATGTAAAATCTTTTTTTATAAATAAATCTTCTTTATATCGTGATTCCGAGCTTTGCGTTTTAAATTTCGTAGAACTAAAAGATTTTCTATGATTATTCTAGGAATCAGGTCGAGATATCTTTAGATGTGTGAATATATACAAAGTTGCAGTAGTTTTTTTGACGTAAGGTAAGATGATAGTAAATCTAGAAATGATTGAAATAACTCGAGCCATTAATATCCTTTTTTATGCTTAGAATTATATGGAGAAAACTTATCGTGAAGAAATATTCTTTTCATTTCCTAGCTGATATAAATTTACATTTCAAATCTTCGAAATATCGTATAAAAGTTGTGACTGAAATGATACTTTCTAAATTCATACACAAAACAAAAAATATTAAAATAAGTACTACCTAAATACAGTAATTTTTCTCTATGGAGGATATATTTGTCTTAAATTAATAAATATAAAAGATTGTTATGCTGAAATAATAATCTGATATGATGCATGAGTCTTTGCTGTACCATTTTTACCGATATAGGACAAAATTGAAGAAACAATCTAGCAATTTTGACAATAATTAAAAATACTTCAAAATGAACTCACCGCGGTAGATTTACAGATATGGATGAATTATCAAGTTCCTCTTGAAAACACCGCCATGGAAGATGCCGGATATTTATATCTGATTTATTGTGAACAACTTGGAGTAAATAATCGGGTGTCAAAATTCTAAATAACTATCGATTTAGACAAAAATCAGCAAAACAAAATCAACTTCAAATACGTAGAAACATAGGATTTGAACATAGAGAAAATCTTTAAAAACCCAAAAAGAAAATATCACTTTTTTCTATATAATTCAATTTATAATAATAAATATGATTACAGACCTGCGCTGGCAGAAGCGCTAACTTTTCAAACAATATTTTAGTTAATGCTAAACTATTTCCGCTCAAAAAAGAAGTTATTAATGGTTTTCAAAATATAAACAGCGATATTGCAAAAGCTTCTATTGATAGGAGTACATTGTTATAGCAATGTTATCTTAGAGACGTATCTTCTAAAGCTACATCTGCTCCTTGCCATATTCTTCACTTCCTCCGCTCTTACGTAATAAATATACACCCTATTAAGGCCAGTCTTCGTCTGAACCTCGAACAGCTTTTCCTTGGGCACTGTGTGGTAAATCTTTTCGAGATTCATGAACATTAAAT